ATTGTGTTAGATTCGGTTTCCATGTTAGCTCTCCTTCCCTCAGATAAACTCCACAGAATTAGTGATATGCTATTGTCTTTCTCTACGAGAAAAAAGTGTACCAAACAAGAACTGTTATCCCTCCTGGGTCACTTACAATATGCGTGCCGCATTATCATTTGTTTCCTACTTGATCCTACTGTCAACGTCGGTCAAGAAACTACACTATCGGATCACATTGTCTCAACAGTGTCGCATAGACCTCACCATGTGGGAAACGTTTCTACGGCAGTGGAATGGCATTTCTTTTTTCCACGAGGATCACGTCACGGCAGCCCCAGATCTTCAACTATACACTGATGCTGCTGCATCAGTGGGTGTTGGTGCCTTCTTCAATGGATCCTGGTTTGCTGAGCCATGGACTGTGGATATTTTGCAAGGACCCAAGCAGACTCGCTCTATAGCTTTTCTGGAGTTATACCCCATTGTCGCAGCAACAGTCTTATGGGGTCATCAATGGAAAACTAAATGCATTCTCTTCCTGTGTGACAATCAGACTACTGTGTATGTGATTACTAAGGGACGTTCTAAATGCCCACATATAATGTCATTAATGCGCACACTTACTTGGCACTCCGCATAAGTTAACTTTATTGTTAGAGCTAAACACGTACCTGGGAAAACAAATGACATTGCTGACGCTCTTTCCCGCTTTCAGATAAAGAAATTCCGTTCCTTGGCACCAACAGCGGATCTACAAGCAACCAAGTGCCCTCCCAGCTCTCAAGTGATGTGGCCTAACAGGATTTCAGTGTTATGTGAGTTTCCTCATAAAATTTGGTCTCTTTGTGGGACTAGTGAATACTGCCAACTTTCCACCAGTTAACGAAGGCCTCCTATAATATTTCCTGGCATATTGTTTCGGAAATCTACAGCTCACCCATAGTACCATCAAAACCTATCTCGCCGGAATAAGTTTCACGTTCCTGGAAGCTGGTATCCAAACTTTATTTGATCACATCAACCTTGGATCTCTCAATAGACTATAAACCTTATTAAGAGGATACAAACGACTGAAATCACCTAACAGGAGAACTAGACTACCAATTACGTATGATGTGCTCTGTACAATCGTCGAGCGTTTACGGTCCGGCATCCTCGGACCCTACAATGTCATGGTAATGGAAACAATGTGTATTACAGCCTTCTTTGGTTTCCTCAGATGTGGCGAATTTACTTGCAATGGTGCGTTTGACTCGAACATTAATCTGTGTATTAAGGACATTATATTTGACAACTTTAAACAGTGCTGCAATTTCATGCTAAAAGCTTCCAAGACAGATCCGTTCCGTCAAGGAGTGACTATTTCCCTATATGCTACCTCCAAGTGGTTGTGTCCATTTGTATGTCTGAAACATCTCGTCACTATCAGATGTCAATGTATGGCGAGTATACATGACCCCCTTTTCGTTGACGGTGCATTCATTCCAATTACATGAACTGTTTTCCTGTCTTGGCTCAACATCACCCTTCGCCGAGCAGGCCTGTGTCCCGATAAGTATTCAGGTCATTCCTTCCGCATTGGAGCTGCAACTACAGCGGCCCAATCCCGCATTGAAGACCACCTGATCAAGACCCTCGGCAGATGGAAGTCAGACTGTTTCACTAGGTATATACATACGCCAGATCTCGTGGTCCATCATGCCAAGCAAGCAATGTGCAGTTAGCGGTGTGTGTGAGATGCAATCTTCAGCCCAGGACAATGCATAATACCTATTTACCGTGACCCAGTGTGTTCTATTACGGACTAGTTGCATGTGGCTGTACCATTCTACAGTACAGTGTGTTCAGACAATAATTGGACTGTACCTATTTTTATTACCTATGTTCTACATGTGTTAAGTTGACATTTCCATATCCATAGCATGGTGTCATAGTCCTGAGTGTTTTGCTTCAACATATTCATGGGACCTAAAACACTTGGCCGAACCATTCTATGGTACAGTGTGTACAGACATTTGACTAATTATACACACATATGCTGTCTTTCAATGTGTTATAGACATGTGGTTATTTTGTGACATTTGACAATTTTGACATCTTCTCAGGAGATACAGTGCCTTACAGTACAGCTTTACTTCTTTTCCTGTATATTTCAAATTCATTCCAGTTACCTTACAAATGTCTTCTCCTTTATTACACTATTTTTTAACTTAGGGGCTCTCGGTTGCTCACAACCTCATTTTGGCATTTATACTTCACCCCATGGCAACACTTACGTGGAGTGAACTAATTATCCCCCAAGTAGTACAGGGCACATAGCTGGGATAGTCCGGGTCCACGACCCCAGGGCATCAAATCCCACGAGATAGTCCGGGTCTTCGACCCCACGACAACGCACCTCAGGCTATGGTCCTATACTACCCTACCTTTAAATGCAACCGAGTCTGCCTCCATATTTTTGCCAAATATCATATAAATTAATAAATATATTCCATTTACTCCTTCTTGTGTTGTTACTGCACAAACTATCTTTAGCTCAAGTTCAGAAGTGTACTGTTTCAGCGCTACTTCTTATGAAGTATCCTTTTCTATTTCCACCTTACTCGCAGACCCTAACTGCGACATACTGCTTGCATGTAACAATTAGCTATACCTAAAGCAAACTAAACTAACGAAAGGCTAATACAAAAACTAAAATATTCTAACCCGAGAAACCATGCTCTGCTACCAAATGTTGCACAGTGGAACTGAATATTTTTGAAGCATGGTTTAACTTAAATGAAAACTAATCTTAAATTTGTATGACTTACCTTTTTAAAATGAAACAAGGAACTAAACGTGATAACCTATTAAAAACTATGAAGATCTGTAAGGAACTAAATGTGATTACCTGTTATAATGTTAAGGAAAGATGAATAAATATCAAATGAAAGAAACTAAATATCTAGAACTAATGCTAATTCTAACAGTTACTGTATGCTTATGTGTTGGTTAATCCTTGGTCTTAACGATGTCTAACGCCATCTCTCTAACCATCTCTCTAACGAACTCTCACCAACCTCACTAATTGATGCGCGCTACCGCCTTATATTTGTTCACAACCCTCACATTTCACGTGCAGTCATAGCCATAAGTTGGTGTGTTCAGGCGATGTGAATGTTATTCATCGAATGTGATTTAGAGAACAGATTCTTTATTTAAACTATATACTGTATTTCAGAATTTTCTTGATGACAGCTTACAAAATTTTGCCTCGATGTGTGACATATGGTATGCTCATCGCCTTTGTCAGAAATGACAGATAAAATTGTAATTATTTTTATTATTTTTCGTAAACTGCATTATTTTACTATTGAATGGTTTACCTGGAATATATATCAGTTCAGATTTTGTGTATCATCCAATATTTGTCATTATTTGCAGTGTTTGTTGACTTAGTAACTAAACAAATTGAAATCACAAAATCACAAAATCATTTGCAAACTCGATAAAATTGTGATTTTTTACAAAGACTTATACATCTGTGTAAATAATTCTAGAAAATTAATTTGGATATATAAAATGGATTGTAATAGTATTACAGGATCACGATGCATGTGGAGTTGTTTGTTTACTATGATCGTACAACTTTCATCCAATCAATGATGTTACAATTCAGATTGTTTTTGTTTATAATTAATTATACAGAAAGGTACTAATTTTTAGAAATTAGAAACTTGAGTGGGTTTATTTTTTTCATCAGGTAACTAAACATTATGATCGAATGTAGAAATGATAAAATTATAAAGAAAATATCGGACTGCAAGCCGCTCAAGGTGAAGTGCCAAAGGTCAACAATGGCTGTTTCTGGTAGTTGTGTGCCAAGAAATTTGGTCTTTAACGATTAATTTGCCTACTTCAGTACGGATTTGTTGACATGGTATTTCCGATGTTATGTACTTACGGTAATGTCAGCGTTGGGGGGAAAAACATCAAACTCATTATGGCGTGTATAATGCACACACCCTTCTACACAGCTGTGTTTTTTTGGAAAAAAGTGTACACTATACTCAAGAAAATATGATACTTTCTTAACTCACAATGTTTTCTTTTTGAGGTAAATAAACTACTGAAAGTTTTTGACATGTAGCATTGAGAGCATTAAAAGATTCGGTACTTTCTGAAATGATTGGCTCAATGCTAACAAATGGATCAGCCAAAAGCCTGGACCCTACCAAATCATTACCTAGAAGCAAGTCAACACCTGGAACTGGGAGAGTTTTCTGACACCAACTTTCACCAAACCCCATAGCGAAATCTGACTGCAAATCAACTGAATGGAGTGGTTCACCAGTAACTCCACCAATACCCTCTAATAGTTAGCAGAAGATACAATCTGAAAATGGCACAACACACTCTAACAGTAAGGACGAGAGCGCCCCTCTGTCCCTCACAATAGTAATGGGTCGCAATGTGGATTTATCACCATTATGGCCAAAAACCTTTGAAATAAAGTAAATAAATTCTTGCCCAAAATCTTTCAACAAACACCACCTTAACTATTACATAAAGTCACATAAGGAGGCCTTTAACTGCCCACATCTTGCTCTTATATCAGTACAGCCAGCCTTCAAGAAACTGCAAACTCAAAGGATTTCAAATCATGTAGTGAATCAACGACTGTAAACAAGCTCCTCAGAACAGAGCTCTCTACACTGATACAAACTGAATTAGGGCTAGTGGCTTATTACAGCAATTTGACTGAATAAATATGGTCCTTAATATTCTTAGACGTCTGTAAGTGTATTTTATTGTTAAAGCTCTTAAAGATAGTCATCGAGTCACTCTAAAAACACTGAAAGATCTTAGTAGTGATGCCTAAATAATTCATTCCCTTTCTGCATTCATCAGCAGTTTAGATTAAATCTCACAATGCATTACGGTAAACACTACACCAGATATGACCTTCAGCATGTTTAGGTGTCTTTGGTTGATTTGAGATACAAAGTGTTAAGAGAGAACATTGATGATTTTCTTACCGTATTGAGAACTGTATGCATGTTGAAAAAGTAACACCAGAAAGTTCTCGTTGAATTCAAAGGAACAAGGAAACTGCTGCCATATCTGAACAAACAAACAGGTGAAATCAATGAGAAACATGTCTACATTTGATCATTCAAAATGTGGAAAAGTTGAAAATAAGACTTTGAGACCATGTCCGAAGCAAAGCCACACAACACACTTTAGAAAGCATTGCGCCCAGAGAGATATTAACACTGATCAGGATTCTACCAGCAGTGTTAGTGAGGCCATTGTTGGGACCATCATCAGGAATAGGTTTGTATGTTCCAAGCTGTAGAAAGTACCAAACCAAACTTATTTCATGAGGGACCTAAAGTTGATACGAAAGGGGAATGAGTTTTGTTCCCTATTAATTACCCATCCTTTTCAAACTTTGGACAATGCCCCAAAACTTCATTTTTTGAATTCTCTAACATCGGAAGCAAAGTGCATTGTAAAAGAAGTGCATGGTGAATGATTTATTAAGTATGGCAAATTGGGGATGCAACGCCTACATCTATCATGGACTGAGCTGTAAGCAGTCCTACATGCCGGCTGTTGCACCCCAAATGCTTGTGATAGGTAGACTGCATATAAATGGAAATATCAACAAGGTACAGACATTTATATGGCAGTGAATACGGATATAATTATAGCAAATAAGGCAGAAGTGAGATCAGCAAACCAGGCCAATGAGCAGCCCATTACTGGCCCATCAAATGAAAAGAAAAAAGCAAGTGAAGGGCGAAGCCTCCTTTACTTAATGACAGATGACATAATAAAGCAGTGAAAACAAGCATGAAATACTCATATCCCCCGCCAATATTACATCTCCAGTTGTGTGCAATGCATTAGCTCCTGTGAACTATGTTCACTGGACCTTTTTGTAAATAGCCTAATTGCAGCACTAAAAAAGATATTACTGTTGTTGAATACGTAACTGTATTTGTGATGAGTTGTGTTACTACTTAAACAATAATCAGAGACATAAGGGAGTTCCTACTTTACTGAGAGATCAATGAGAGCAGGGGTCACCATGATGATACTGAGAAGTACAGCACCAATCATCTGATGATCTGAGTAGTAGACTGGAGTCTGGGATGCTACGGCACTGGCATGATCAGTAAACAACAAGTCTTGTATAGCTCCAAGACAGTGAGTTGGAGAGTGAATGAGTTGAGTCATGAAGTTTCAGTTTTTCACTCAGATCACAGTTGCTTGGAGAGATCCTGAAGTTTCAGCATGAAGTTAGTAAGTGAATGCGACAATCATGTCCATGACACTTTGGGAGGAACATACACACAAGCAATGCAGAATCTTTCCAACAAGAAGGGAAATGTATTCAATGCTGAGAGATGACATTATGTGCCAAATTTGGTGAAGCAATATTGTATGGTTTTCAAGATCTGCTCCGGAAACGAGGACTACTGCCATTTTCAATCTAAGTCAAAGTCGGTGCCATGGAAACGCAAAAAATCTTTTTTTTAAAAACCCAAACTATCAAAAGGCACCAGTTTGCCACTAGACCTATCTATGTGCCAAGTTTGGTTAAGATATCTCTCATGGTTTTTGTGTTCTCCTTGAAATGTGACGGACAGAAGGACAGAAAGACGGACGGACGGCACCCATTCCAATATCCCCTTTCCACTTCGTGGCAGGGGATAATAAAATATTGCACCTAAAAACTGGAGTGGCACATTAGGGTGTGCAACGCAGATTTATAATGGAGGGAGGCTGAAGGGGTTGTACAGGCCAGCAGTTACACCTCAAATGCATGTGAGAGGTAGACTACATATTAAAGTGACATAATATGCATAGTATGCATAACTACATGTTATAGTACTAAGTCAAATAAGTACACAGGGTAAAAGTCAAAATATACAATGTAATTGAATAAAGGCTTTTAGGTGGCAAGATAACAACATTAAGCTTACCCCAAATGAGGCTTCAAGATCAATTTAAATTTGGCAGGCTAATTTGCAATTGGCAAGTGACAACCGAAAGGTAAAAGAGTTAAAGATTGCACATAGCGAGCTAAAGTAGCTTAAGAGGTATGAATGTACTGTGTGTATACCGTAGAGGACCATGGACCCAATGTCTGGATGAGATTATCATCTACAACATTAGCGGCTGCTGTAGTAGTTGTGGTAGTTGCCCCGATACGAAAAGAATGGCCATTGAAATTTTTACTCCTATAACCGAACATGTTTAACTAGGAAGTTTCTGTAAGAAGAATTTCTTTGTGAGAGGATAGCCCTTGGGCGTCACAAACAAGGCTGGCTGTAAACAATTAACTTTGTCCCTAAGATGTAAATAGTAAGACAGCCTGTACAGGTTTAAAGTAATCATTGTCAAAATAACTATCCTGACTCCCTTCGGGTATGGGTCGGTTTTTTGAAGACCTGAGAGTGAGTTGAATGAACACATTATCATCACAGGTTGTTGTCACAGTCAAAACTGGTCCTAACCGTGAATTTCCCACATCGAAGGAAGCCGAAGAAGACTGGTACTACTACGGCCTGCATCAGGCTGTCTACAAAATGAGAAAAACAACCCTCATGTAGGGACTCCCACAGCTTGGTTAGGATGCCCATTGGATAGGCACTCGTTGTCTTGTCGGGTGAGTTTGCTGCCACCTGCCCTTATGTGGAAGAAACAGATCCCAGCAAAGAAGTTCTCGATAGTAATATATGCCCTGCAGGGAGGAATAACAATAGTTCATGAAATTGATCAGCACCTATTCTGTTACAACTGGATACAGATGATGCTCCCAACATAAATTGTAAGCTGCAAGGAAGTGTCAATGTAGAGTCTAGGATTAGGTCCAAATATTTCAAACAGTGTGTTGGGCCTAAGGTTTTCTTTTGAGACAAAGCGACTCCTAAACTGTCAAACACCTTGCACATAGTTGTCATAGTTCTGTAGCCATCGCTGTCGGATCCATCAAAGGTCAGAAAATCATCCAACAAATGCAATATGTGCTCCACCCCATACACATTCTCAGCAATCCAGCAGAAGGCTGTGGACAAGTAGTCAAATATCTTAGGGCAGGATCTACACCTGAGGACTAAACGTGTGAAAAAGTACATCTCATTATCCCACTGCACACCATGTAAATGCCACAGTGATTGATGAATGGGTACTTGCCTAAAGGAATCCTCAATGTCAAATTTACATATCCAAGAGTTCTCACCTGATTGCTGAATGTCAACTGCACAGTCCAGTTTAACATATGACATCTGAAAGTTATAAACTGTGAGATGTTGAAAGGCCCAATGACATAATGTTTAATGCACTCAGCTTTGAGCAAATACACTGACACCCTCTGGATCGTCTCTTGCCGTCTTGTTGTTGCACACCACCGTTTTAGACGGAACAGTATCAATTCTTGTCATAAGTCCAAACTTGAATCTCCCACAAGAGTGTCTACAAAAAAATTCCTGTAGCAGTTGTGACAAAGCTTTAACATTAATAGGCGGTGGTACAAGGTTTAAGGTCATCACCACAGCTTCCCGAAGAGCCATTTGCCTTTGTTTGGAGGCTTGCCCTTGCACTCCAATTGAGCATGACGAGCCCTACACACTAGACACACATGCATGAACAGGCATTGAGGCCGTGAACAGCCTTGGTCACCATAAAAGCAATTGCAAATTTCCTGACCTCCATGGTGCACGACTGGGCGACCATGTGTATTCCTGTCTGACCTACATCCTCACCTGTCTGAACTGATTTGACGACGTGGGCAGCTGTCTACACTATGAAGTGCACTGGAACATATGGTACATACAGACACTCTCCGTCCAGCCATGATGGAGACATTCAAGTGAATATCAATGAGTGGCTGCTCTGGATGTGAATGCCTGGTGATAATCATGAAACACAGCGCCTCCATATGTGGAAGACGTTTCAGCAATATTGGCTTGCATTTTCACCCTACTGTCTGGGTCCCGCTCACAGAAAATCAACATGTATCTGCCAAATGCAACATGAAACTCATTGATAATCAGGGAGCAAAGTCACCACGTTAACTATGAGTCCTTAAATCTAATTTCATTCCCGTCCACGTCAGCAACCAAAAGTCATTATTGTCCTGATGAGGGTCGTTTAAAAGGAGCGCCAGATTAATGTAGCTACCCTCCTGGATTTGTTGTCTTGTGGTTTCAGCTGCGGTGACCACCCTAGGAATATCATGAGATGCAAGACGGAAACAGGGGAGTCGCCTTCCGGAAACATCGTCAATACTGTTGGGGTGGTTGGCCTGAGTTGAGATGATGAACCAACAAGGCTACTGCCAGCGCTGCTACTTCCTGTTGAAGTCATCTGATGCTAACTTGCATTAACTGGGCACCGCCATCTTTAACAGTCCTGGATGTTGACATGGTCGCAGGCACAACATTAGCACATGTTGTTTGATGATAGTCCTGACGACCAGACAGAACTCCCTGAACTGTAGTCGTTGTTGACAGATGCGAAAGTTCGTGGGCACAAGTAACCCTCACAGCTTTGATGATACATAGCATCTCTTTGCATGGGAGTGAACTCACCAGCTGGATATCCAATTTTCCCAGCATTTTCCTCATGAATGGAGTTGTTCAGTCCTCCTGGGGCGGTAAGTTTCCTGACATAGGACAAAGCCAGTGTCTCTGTGACCTCTGATTTCTCAATTGCACAGTCATCCGAGACGATCTCCTGGTCTGGTGAAGATGGTGATGCAGTTTTCCTTGTCCTTCCCTGTGTATGGGAACGACCATGGTTCATAATGCTACCAGAGTACGGGGAAATTTGTAAATGATTTGCTGCTAAACTTGCCAGAAAAAATGACTGTGACCAAAGGGCTGCGAAATAGTGCATGTTAAAGCAAAGCAATGATATAACTATGCATGACCAATTAAGTGAGCAAACTGCAATGTGTTAAAAAGTTCTTTACGCGAAATAGTTTACTTATTGTTTTTGCCTCATAAACAAACAGTGCTGACAACTTCGAAATTAGATTTCATTCCAACTGTGCTTTGAGTGTTTTCATGTGAATCCGAATTAGGTCTATAACTTAACAGCATGGGAATCTGGATCATGGACAGAATTGCCGATGTACTGCCCAAGATACCACAGCCATGGAGTGGAACATTTTTGTGTCCAGACATGAGCATAATGTGTGTAGGTGCGATGTTACTGTTGAGTGTTTGAAGTGTCCTTACACGCACTATGGTCAGTCAAATGTGGGTCAGTGGACAAATTCGCATGCTGGACCATGTTTATCATGATTCCAAGTTTATTTTTCTTCCCACCGGCTGACACTTGAACCAACCCTTACCACGTCGAGGAACTCCCTTACTGTGAGCCAAATAGAAGGGCTGTTCAGCAGAAGAGAAATTTGTTGGGCGTAAGGTTTTGTATTTCGTATTGCATTGGGACATTGGTATGGGTCATTGGATGCAAATCATATGCCATAAGCAATTTTTGGATTGCAACCTGTTTATGTTTTAGTCTCAAGTATTTTAGTATTCCAGATATGCTTGACCATCATGATCTGTCTTCAGTGCAACATTCCCCTAATTTATAGTTCCATGAGGATGGACAGAATGAAGGTTGTTATTCCACCACAAAGTGCTGAGAATGGAGTCAGGGATCCCCTCACCAAGTTAACCAGTTTCCCAAAGTTTATTTATTTCACTTTGTGTCACAGCTTCAGCAGCTTTCAGTAGGTTCCCCTTACCTTCCCATTTTCCATGTTTTAATACTGACATAAACACCTTACCTGAGTCGTCTTAAGTGGCGACCAATACTCAACCAAAATCCCCGCAAAGAGGAGAATTCATATTCATCCCCGCTTGGCTTCCTTGTATTCATGTATAAATCTTGACAGAACTTGGTTTTATTCTACTGGAGGGATAGTTTCAATAGATCTGGTGTCATTAAAAAAAATAATTTACATGTAATGTGTATTTTGTCTTCTTGTCCGTGTTCCCGTTTTCAATTCTTTTGACATATCATCAATTTCCTTCTTCCAAATCATATCCAATAAATTCTCATTTGTCAGTGTCTAATTCAATATCATCTTGTCGAAATAGTTCGTGTGGAAGCACTCGAGACAGATCGAAATCATGACAAATTGGTGATTTGGAGGACGGGGCCATTGACACAGTTTCTGGTAGCATAGGAATTCAGTACCAATGTACTTGCATTTCTCCCAACTTTGTTTTCACCACCAATATGTAGAATGTGTCCAAAGGTCTAATTATATCCTGAACCCTTCCAGTAATTTTGCCATCAATTTTCACAGGTGTCATCAGTTGGGGCCATGCTTGTTTTCATAGAAACAACAGCAGATCTGCATATTATAATCTTGCATATATTTTCAGCAAAATGTGTTAAGTTTTCAATAAAAACAACTGCAAAACTCTTTTGTATTATTTATTGTCAAAATAAAAGCTCCAGGTCTACTTTTTGTTCACATTTTATTCTTTCATGAAGTGTTAATTTGTATCTGTCTAAACATTTTTACACCTTGCACATGAGTTGATCATGTAAAGACTGCCAGTGACTACTTACCTGCCACACACTGTCTAAAAAGAGAAGAAAAATGGGAGACTCCTGGCGCTGCTTGGTTATGGCATATGCCGACTTGGAACAACGACTGCGAAAAGGATGCCCTGCCTGAATCCATTCACGTTCCACAAGAGCCTCAAATCTGTAAATAAGAAACTGTGTATGATGAAATTCTAGCATTCTGTCATATCCCCTAAAGGATTTTCTCAAGTTTTTATGCATAAAATGTGAAAACATAAAATTACTTAAAGTACTAGCTCTAAATTGCTTGTCATTCAATTCTCAACTGAAGTCTAAGATGAAAAGGCAAATTTAATCTTCCAACTGTTTACAATGCTTCTATCAAATAACAGTTTCAAGGAAAGAGTCTGGTACCATCCATCCTCATCAGTTAAGTCCATATCATTCACCTCTGCTTTATAGAAAAAATTGATATATGCAGCCAAATTGTACTGATTATTTGTCAAAATAATGTTAGGCATGATGACTAATCGATTGGAGCATACGTCCATCGATATATATATATAACTGATATAACTTACAGAACACCCATTATTGGAAGGTTGTCTGTTACAATACCAGCCATGACAAGTTGCTCATAAAACCAGGTGCCCAGGTTGGTAAAGGCGTACATCAGGATGATCTGCGAGGGGTGTTCATTAAAGATTTCCCCTGACCCACTTCTGATGGACCTAGTGGAATGAAACTTGGCATAGGTATTAGTCTTTCTCCAAGAGTTTCACACTTCTCCCATAGTTTTATGCAACTATGGAGACCTCGCTTGTAAAAGCCCTCATTTTGCGTCTCAAACCAGGACTTGACTTCAGAAATCAGTGTTTCATCATCTGTGAAACGTTTTCCCTTCAAAAATGACTTCATGGTTGGAAAGAGGTGGAAGTCAGATGGTGCAAGGTCAGGAGAGTAAGGAGGATGTGGAAGGATTTCATAGCCACAGGACCGCGCTTCTGTCTGGGCAACATGAGAGTTGTGTCCTTGAGCATTGTCTTGCAGGAGACGGACACCCTTGGTCAGCATGCCACGCCTCTTAAGCTTGATAGCGTCCCGCAATTTCCGCAGCAGTGAAGCATAATAAGCTCCTGTAATTGTGGTACCCTTTGGCAAGAAATCCATCATCACTACTCCGTGCTGGTCCCAAAACACCGTGAGCATGACCTTGCCTGCAGAGGGTTGGACACGTGCCTTCTTTGGGGGTGGTGACTCCACATGCTTTCATTGCATCGACTGAACTTTAGTCTCAGGATCATAGTGATGGACCCATGTTTCATCCTGTGTGATAAGTCTGTCAAAAAAGTTTGCCTGTTTTTTTTGGCACATGTCCAAAAGATCCTTTGAGCAATTGACTCGCTCCTGCTTTTGGAAAGGTGTGAGCAACCTGGGAATCCATCGTGCAGGCACCTTATGCATGTTCAAATTGTCATGGATGATTTTTTCCACAGACCCTACACTGATCTTGACATCTTGTGCTAACTGGCGAATAGTTATACGTCGGTCTGCCAAAATGGCAGTCTCCACTTGATGGATAGTGTCCTCATCAATGGCTGAATGGGGGCGACCAGGAATGGCAGCTGTTTCCACAGATGTCCGACCACACTTGAACTGGCGATGCCAGTGTTTAACAACGTCATATGATGGGGCATCTTCCCCATAAGTTGCTTTCATTTCATCGAAAGTTTCTTTTGGTGTGCGACCTTTCAAATATAAAAACCTAATCACTGCTCGGTATTCTACTGGCTCCATTGTCACACCCTACTCGATCATAACACCTGTAAAAGTGGTAAGATTAATAGTTCGGTGCTGCAAATTCAGACATAACCCATAGATACATGTATCATTACACATATGAAATTTCAACCAAATATGATTACCCTAAGTGGTTTAGGGGAAATCTTTAATGAACACCCCTCGTACATTTTTGCTTAGAGCAGGATGGAATACATGTCGGTCCTAGAGACGCAGACTGCTTCTTGGCTATAATATGACAGAGACAGTTGAAATGAGTTGGGTTTTACACCACTGTTAACAGTATTCCAGTAACATCACGGCATTTCAGCATACTGTGGCAGGAAAGCCTGATGTCATGCAGGCCTCTGACGTTTACAACTTTGTTGAAACTCATGGGTACAGGTATGGTGCTGACAAACATAATCAGGTGAACCAAAATTAAAACCCATGATCCTGAGGTTTCTGGCATTCCCAAGTGATTCCCAAGGGATGCAACTCTGTACAGCGAACTGCAAAACCTTTGATGACTAGGCTACCCGTCCCCCTCAATAGAGATAGGGCTCTAATCTTCTGCATAAGTGAGTCCAGCAAAGTCGAGTGCATGAGTCTATGACACTCTAACTGCAGTGGGCATAGCTAGAAGGAAAGCTGTCTTTCTGGATATCGGAAGCAGGGATGTCCAAGCTATTGGTTCATATGGTTCGTGAAGCAGAGCAGACAATACCACAGACAATACCATCAATTCACTTCAAGAAGGCACATGGAGTTCAAACATCTTCCAGGAAGAATCTCGTCAGTCTGTTAAGAACTGAAGGTGATTTCCTTCAGTCAAACCATCTAATGAAGCACTGAGGCAAAGGCTGATCTTTATCCCTCTATGGTGCCATGACGAAACTTATTATCCTGCCGCAGATTTAGTAAGAAGTCAGCCACCCTGGGTATAGTTACATCATTTCCCAATCATCTACTTCTTCCTCTCTACCGACAGAGCATGTCCCATCTGCTGTCGTAAATGTTGGATGAAGGTGGTCACTAATAGGCTGTGGGCTAGGTATGACCAACGAGCACCCCCCCAACATCCAAACCCCACTAATTTTTTTTAAAGCCCATAAACATACTTAACATGATTTTGAATGTTAACAAGAAAAAAGTTGGGACGAACTTGTTGTTACAGCCCTTCAAAGTATGGTACCCTATATCGCGTTTTCGCCCTGTTTTGCCGTATATCACTTGGGGGTATCATTACATTTTGTAGAATTTTCCTATTCAGAATATTCTATAAGTAATACGTTACCACTGTTATACCGAGGCTGTTGTTCCCCACAACTGCTCTTATAGCGAAATCTTCCAGAGATCTCATTCACGTGCTTAGCCACCTAGCTGCCATGTGACACCCTTCCCTCTTGTCTCTTGCGAGAGCAAGTGCTCGGGGGACGGATGGGCAGCCGCAGCCCAGTGGTAAAGTATTACTTATAGAATATTCCGAATAGGAAAATTCTACAAATTACATTAAGTAATACGTTACCACTGTTATAGCGAGGCTGACTACCACAGTAGGTGGTGGGGAGCACCTACAACCCGAAACCTGACTGCTCGTGTTCCTTCTGACCAGCGGAAGTATACAACAAGGCGGAAGCACTCCATGCGCATGCTCCCAGCTTGGCGTTTCCATATAGGGATACCAAAGCATACCGTGAGGCTTAATCGTTATTGCCAAACGATTGGTGACTCCAAACGGCCCCACTGGATAGGTATTTCATCGCCGCAGCGGATGAGAACACAGTATCCGTGTGAGCTAAATCTTAGATCAGGTTAAACAGTCGAAAAGAGGGAAATTAATTTCATATATAATTCCGTATATCCCAAGAACAAGCCTACTTGAGGGTATGTAATAGGCGCGTGACAGACAATTAAGTTAATAATTGTCAAATCAAAATAAAGAAACACACAGAAAGCCGCACTCACCTTTCTGAGGTAATGATTGGCAAAAACCGAGTCAGAACGCCAGTAACAACCCCGCAATATTCTGTGAACAGATATATTGGAGTGTAGGGCAAATGTTGCCGCTAGCGCCCTAATCTCGTGCGGGTTTGACCCCGCAACCGGTAACCCCCGAGACCGGTCATCAGATTGATGACAGAACGAAGCCATAACGCAATTGAGTCGCGAGTTATGTCAGCAGTCCGATTAGGGTTACATGATATGAACAGACGGTCACGCCCTTGTCTGCGTTTATTCGAAGCCTTAAGATAATACTTAAGGGCCCTAACCGGACACAGCGATCTGTCCTCGGTATCAGCAGGATGAAAGATTTCTTTGAGTGATCTTACAGTGAATTCTCTCTCAGTTTGGCCAAATTTCTGATTCTTAGCGACGAAGCCCATGAGCAGCTCCAGGCGGACCGCTCCTTCGTCGCCCCTATCGAATCGTACTTTGGTGACATCGAGTGCGTGAATCACAGACACACGTGCCGCCGTGGCAAAGGAGAGGAGAAATGCTGTTTTCTAAGTCACATGCCAGAACGAAGCACTACTCAAGGGTTCATACGGAGCCTCCGTAAGTGATTTCAACACTAAGGAGAGATCCCAGGCCGGTGCCCGAAGGCGGCTCTTTGTAAGATCTTGCTGCTTGAAACCCTTGATAATACCCCGAATCACCAGCTCTTTTGAGAGACTGGTACCCATAGCAACGTCCCGTACCGTAGCAACGGACGAGACATGGTTGGCAATGGAACCCCCGGAGAGTTTCCGGGTCTCTCGTAAGTGAGACATGAAACGAGCAATATCCTGCACAGATGTTTACAACACCACCTCGTGAAAATAGCCCAACGTGCATTATACACCTTCTGGGTAGAATCACGATGCATACTAATGAATGCCCGAGATGCCCAACGAGAAAAACCTTTACTCCTCAGACGCTCGGTGACAACATCCATGCGTGCAGATTGAACTGCCCTGCGTTTGGATGAAGCTGACGGGTGTGAGGGTGGATCAGGAGATCCGGTCTCACAGGCAATGGAAGTGGCGACTGCGTGATCTGGGCCAGCAAGTCGGGGTACCACGATCTCTTCGGCCACATGGGCACGATCAGTAACATTCATCAGCGAACTCCTCGGAGCCGTTTAGAATGAGTGGTATTAACGCCGTCGGCGGGTAAGCATAAGCGTCCATGCCCTTCCAGTCTAACGCGAGAGCATTGTGATCGATGGCCCTCGGGTCCCGTACTGGTGATACAAACAACGGGAGTTGATTGTTGAACCTGGTTGCGAACAGGTCGACCATCGGACGACCCAAACGTTCGCACAGCACACTACTGGGTTGAGCATCCACTGTGGGGCTCGGATCGTGAGGCCTCGATAGAGTGTCGGCCAGTACGTTCCACACACCTGGGATGTGATGG